TATAGAATTTTTATTATATAAATTTTAAAATCGTCTATAAATTTTGAAATACAAATGAAAGTAAATTTTTGTGACTTTTTCATTACTATTTATAATCTTTTATTATAAAAGATAATAAAATAGTTTGAATACATCTAAGTTAAACTTTTATGTGGGCTTTTTTTAATATGCCTTTTTATATAGTTTATGCATGGAATGTGGATTAAGAATGCAATGGTTAAATGGGTGTGTGATAGCAGCTTTTTAATGTTTATTGAATTGTTAAAAACAACGGCTTTCAACTCATTCCAGAAACTTAGAAATTCCAAAAAAAATTCTTGCTTTAAAAGACAAGGTTTTTAAAAGGAAACGTGAGACAAAGAAACCTAACAACCCTAAAACATGACAAAAGTCTGTATTAACCAAGAATAGTAAGCAAAAATGAGAAAGTGTTTACCCAGCCAGCATTGTGATGCGAGTACCGTGTAGGACCTTTACAGGATGTCAAATGGGAACCGTACGGGATTTGGCCGCGGGATCTATATAGGTACCATGCGGGTCAAATAAATAAAAACGAAAAATACATCGGCTGCTTTTTCTTTTTTCCCCTATTGACCCCAGAATTTTCCCGGATATATTTTTTTATTTTTTACTATGTATAACTTAAATTTTTTATACCTTAAATTAACGACAATTTTTTTAAAGCAATTTTTTTCATTTGATAAGTATGATAACTACATATGCAATAACAATTTATCTTATTTGATAAAACACACATGTTTTTTTTTATTTGGTTCGCATGGTACCTATATAGATACCGCGGCCAAATCCCGTATGGTTTCCATTTGACATCCCATACGGGTCCCACACGGCACTCGCATCATCCCGACGGGCATTTGTTTTTAAAAGTTACGATCTAAATGTATTTTAAATGTCTTTTAAACGTCTTTTAAACATTAATGTTTAAAAGACGTTTAAAAGACGTTTAAAACACATTTAGAACGTAACTTTTAAAAACAAATGCCCGTCGGGATAATGCTGGCTGAATACTGTCAAGAACTATTTCGAAAGTCCGATCTGGGGTCGATTATGTGTTTTGTGTGTTGCATTTGGGTTTACGAGGCATGCTAATGTGCAGATTTTTTTAATTGCATTTATTAAGATGCTCTGAAAAATTCTTACGGTCTTATCGCAGAGCACCGCGGAAAAGCATGTCACTAAGAAGTTCACGCCTCTTTTTAAACTAAATGCGAACGTAAGAGACCAGAGCTGATTTTAAACTACGGACCTCTTGGTTCAAAATAACCGCGTTACGGCAGTTCAGACTTTTGTACTGATGACTGAAGCATATATATATATATATATATATATATATATATATATATATATATATATATATATATATATATATATATATATATATATATATATATATATATATATATATATATATATATACATATATATATATATATATATATATATATATATATATATATATATATATATATATATATATATATATATATATATATATATATATATATGTGTGTGTGTGTGTGTAGAGAGAAAGAGAGAGAGAGAGAGAGAGAGAGAGAGAGAGAGAGAGAGAGAGCGTAGATTGTAATTAGTTTAAAAACGATTTTCTTCAAGAATCAGGCAAAAATACAAATTTTTAATCGTGAACTCCTCTAAATTATTTTTTTAGTATTTTGTCACTGATAATACTAAAAGCTTTATTCCAACTTTTTTTTTTTAATATTCATAGGTTTATATATTCTAATTTGACTAAATTTTCAGAAATATAGCCCAATTGTAGTCGCAAGCATTTTAAACTTGAAAATAGAACAAAGTATATACTTTCCAATGAATATTTCACTTGATCATAGTTTATTTATTTCATAACTAGTAATGATTAAATAGATTAATAAAAGCAAGAAAAAATATTTTGTCATTTTTGATCTTCCATTTCACGCAGTATTCCATAATTTTTTATTATTATTTTAAATCTTCATCTAGTATAGTACCTAAAAAAACACATGCTAATCAAAAATTAAAGGGTTAGTCTTAAAATCTAACTCAAAAATGGAGTTTAAGTTAAAAAGTGAAAATTTTGTGATCTCATTATAGCTAAAGCCCTGGGTTTACAATAAAAGGGTATTTTCAAAAATAGGAAAGAACTATTTATCGACCAGATTTATAAAGAATACCTATAGAATATTGCATCAGTAAAAAAAAGTAACCATAAATAATTTTTTTTTCATCAATAGCAGGCTTCTATAAGAATATGGCAGAGCTCAATAGTGAGCAGTGAAATTCTTCAAAATTGTTAGTTTGTTAATATATTGTTGGTATTTGTACAAAAAGACTAATTCAAAAATATTTTTCAAAAAATTATTTTTTGTTCTCAATTCAATTCACAGTTTTTGATCTCGATGCCATTTCAGTGATTGATTTTAAAAATAAACTTAAAAAATTTAGCGAAAAACATTTCTTTCCACTTTATTAAAAAATTGAGTTATTGATAGTATTATGTACCTCAGAATAATGTTTTTCTATTCTATTAAAATATAAGCTATAAGTAAAAACGTTGCGGAGAAAGCGTAAGATAAAAAGTTGTTTTTATATGCCGTCTCCTAATGTTTTTATTTTTTAAATCGCTTTATCTCAAAACTCAAAAATGTGAAAATATAACGAGGTAATTCTAACGTCGCGCATTGCTAGATTCTCTCTTGAGACTCTCAAGCACACAGTTTCAATTAAAAAAAAAAAAAACAATTTAATACATTTCATCTGTTACATGTATATATGAAAATGTATGTGGTTTACAAAAAGATTTTTTTAAAAACTGGTAGACTTCCAACCCAAACTAAAACCATCAGTCGATATACCGGCACTCTTGTCTATTCTAATTATTTTGGTCAGTCAATTTTTGTACACTCTCTACATATTCTGGTTTTTTAAAATCACAATGAAATTCTTTGAATCAATATTCAATTTATTTTGTTTTCGATGCAATTCATTAAATTCATTAGCAATATTATTCTATTTTCTGTTTTTCGACAATCAAAAAATGCGATCACTCATTGCAAAAGATTCAAATTTTGTTTTAAAATTAGTTTTTACGATTAAGGGACTGTTCATAAATTACATCACGATTTTTTGTAAATTGTCCCAAACTGATACACACGCACACGCAAAACTTTTTTCCATACTTTTGAATGATATTTAGTCAGGCCTAAACTACTAAACTAGATAATAAACAATTATCAAGTGAAACACCCTTGAAAAGTATACATTTTGTTCTGTTTTCAAGTTTAAAAATACTTTCGCCTTCGTTTGGTCAGTATTTCTAAAAATTCAGTCAAACTTTGAAACAAATAGAACAATAAAATAACTTAAATTGTTTTAAAGTAAATATTGCTTCTTTTATTTTTTATCAATCTAGCCATCTAATTCTTAAAATATTGAGTATTTTTTGATTCGTCATCTGAGATTAAAAAAAAAAAAAAAAGTCCTGGATTTATTAAATATTTTTCCACAAACATAATTTTTTATGTACATTTTAATAGAAGAAGTATTTTTATTTTTGTACAATCGTTATCTAATGTATAAATAAAGCAAAAAAACTCTCGAAGAAGAAAATAAGTATATATTTTTTTGTTTGCCAACATACTTAGGGATTGAATGCGGATTTTTTTCGATTTTGGTATTTCAGAATTTTAGAATTCGTAATTCTAAAAACTCTTTACACAAAACATGTGCAATTCAAAACATGTGCAACTTCGAAAAGGTTTATTTTGATCGGGAGGCTAAATAAGCGGGAATTTCATAGTTGCAAACTGGCATAAGTGCGAAACATTGCAAAAACTGGCATAATTGCGAACAGGCAAATTTGCAAATTAGCATAAATGCGCTTAAAGAATTTGCAAAAATTGGCATAAGTGCGAACTGGTATAAAAGCAAAGCAGTTGGAAAAACTGGCACAAGTACAAAATGGCATAAGTGCCAATTGCCATAAGTGCGCCAAACAAATTTGCAAATAATGGCATAAGTACGAATTGGCATAAGTGCGAAGTGGCATAAGTGCGAAGCAATTACAAAAATAGAATAAGTGCGAACTGGCATAAGTGCAAACTGGTATAAGTGCAAATTGGCATAGGTGCGCCAAATAAAATTGCAGGTATTAACATAATTGCAAATTGGCATTTCGCACATATGCCAATTTGCATTTATGCCAGTTTTTGTAACTTATTTGCATTTATACCAGTTTGCACTATTGAAGTTCGCACTTATGCCAATATTTGCAAATTTGTTCGGCACACTAATGAAATTGGCACTTATGCCATTTTGTACTTGTGCCAGTTTTTGCAACTAATTCGCACTTATGCTAGCTTGCACTTAAGTCAATTCGCACTTATGCCAGCTCGCATATGTCAGTTTGCACTCAAGTCAATTCGTACATATGTCATTTCGCAATAATGAAATTCCGCTTATTCAGTTGTCCCATTATGAGTAATTGTTTCCTAAATTTGGTACCATATTGATAGTTTAGCTTTGTTGACATTTAACTTTATACACGCTTAAAAATAGTGTTGAGCCGTAGGCTACATTATGTCGCGTAGAATACAACAATGAGTGTCGACGCCGGCTACACCAACACTATGTGGCTTTAAAAGCCACACTCAGTGTTGCATTCGTAAGGCTACATAAAATGTAGACTTGAAAGCCACACTTTGTGGCCTTTAATGCGACACTTTTGTAGAAATTTTTTCGACATAATTGTTGCATTTAATCAATGGCTGTATATAAATGCTCTTTTTGCGCGACAAAACTGTTGTAAAAAAACCTCAAAATTAGTGTTGCGCTAGATGTAACACTATAGTTTAAACACTAATCTGTGTTTTTCTAGACGTTAAAAATGTTTTGATTTTTTGTAAGTATATTTATGCGTGATTTATTCCGCCCATTTAGGTCTTCATGTACTATGTATATAACCGGGTGCAATTAAATAATTCAAATAAAGAATGCTATTTATATCATATAATAAATTACACATTGTCATTTAGAGTCATACTAAATTACACATGTATATTATATTGGCTTACAAGAAATAACGGAACGATATCACAATAAAATAATAAAAACTGAAATATAAATTTTATTTTAATTCCGAGTCAATACATTGTTATAGTATTTCTTTTAAGTATATAAACTCAGTTCAAACTCAAACTCAATTCAGTGAATACTAAATTAAAAACAAGTCTTAAAACATTTATATGCAAAAGCGAGTTAAAACCTTGAAAAATAGATACCGCCGTCAGAGAAGAATCGTATATCAACATTTTGTGTTTTTTTTTTTGTCCATTATCAATAAATATTCAGGAGTGTGTGTTTCATAAATATACCACAACAATAAAATTTTAGGAAATATTTAAATAATCAGTCGAATTTTCTGGAAGACTTTGCAAATTAAAATTTGAAACTTGATTTTCTTGGAAACACAAAAAAAAAGACATACGGTCTCTTGGTTCTCGGCTGACGATATAACAAAAATAAACAAGAAAGTGATAAAAATACTTTTTCGTTTCACAAACATATTGCTTAATTTAATCTTAAACTTTTGGCAATACTTTCTTTAAAAGGAATTGACGATAATTCTTTTGTTGTTTATTCCAAGCAAATTTCCCATAAATCTATATACACAAATAAGTTCATGAGGAAAATTGACATTAAATACATAATAAGAGACTAGCTGCAACTCAAAAGCAAATCTAATACTCGGTATGGCTTTCAACCGTATAGCTGTATTATCGACTTATAATTAGAGTTATAATTTGAATTATAAATAGAGTGCTGCAACACTTGAATAAAATCAGTAGAAAAACTTTCTCCTTCTTCAATTCTCAAGGGAGCTTTCAAGACTGAGGTGTACCTAAATGTTTAAGTAAAATTTTAAAAATGCAGAAAATTCAAAGCTCAAAAAAGTAATACTTTTTGATTATAAACCAAATTTAACTTAAAAAAAAAATGCATAGAAAAAACTTACATCCATTTCTCTATAAAATATACCCTAATTCTTGGACTCTTCTTGCTCTTCTGTGGAGGTGCTATCATAAGAAAAGGGAGCGCCTTAAATGCAAGAAAAGCTGCATCTTCTAAATAAAAATAAAAATAAATCAGGGAACAACTTGTATATACTTATAAACCTTTATAGGTAGATTATAAAAAAACCTTCTTTTGGATTAAAAGGGTATATTACATAAGGAACTAATAAATGAAATAAGATGAGAAAGAGAAACTTCGCACTTTTGCAGATTGGCACATAGTCAAGTTGCAGCAGCTTAGTACTTATGCAGATTGACAATTATGTTGTAAAATTTCTTATTTAAGTTATAAAGTTCTTATTTATTCATTCTCCCCACTTAGGGTAGTAGACATATATATACCTCCATTATATTAGTCTTCTGACAAAGTATTTTTGAACATTGAATCTCTTGCTAGTAACAAAATGTTTTGTTTGCAAGTGTTAAAGCCATCATGCAATGTAATATTACTTGATACCTCTTCAATAAAATGAAACTATCTTTGAAATTCCCTCATAAGTTTCACATCTAGGAGGGCCCATGTTGCATGTTTCAGAAGTTACAAAAAGAGAATTTTTTTCTAAGTGTTTATCTTGTTTATATAAAAAACTTGAAAACTTGAGTGACTCATTACAATGTATAACACTACTTTCAAACTTACTCTTAAACATTAATAGAGTGGAATCTGCTCTAATGTCATTGAAAACTGATAAAGCAGCATTACCAATATCATCGCTCAAAATAACAACCGATCAATGATCAGCAATGTCTAAAGAAATTTCAAAAAATTCAAGGAAAACCTTTTTTTGTGAAATAATTACATTTGATTGGCAAGCTTTGAAAAACTATTTGAGCACTGCAATATAGGAAACTAATGATTATGAAATTACTGTTAACAGAAACAATTACTTCAGGTATAATGTAATAAGGAACACTGCTGCTTGTTCACAATGAAGAAACTAACAAAGGATCAATATATTCTATTGTTTTTTCAGGTTAAGTGTAAACTTGATAAGTAGAATTCTCTGGGAAACTAGGCAATGAATATTCTGAAAAATTAGGCAATAAATCGTTACGATTATCATTTAATGGATTACTATGTATTTTGGCTCAGGATTTTTATCAATGAAATCATTATCAATATTATGGTAACATTTTACATGTCTAATTAGCGACATATATGCTGTACAGGTACATTTACAGCCATTCTGTAAACATCTAATTGGATAAACAATTTTGGCAATACTATTATGACGTAGTAGATGATTTTGAAAAAAAATCAATAGTTACGTAAAAGTACCCCATATACAGCAAATAAACGTTTTAATAACTTTTATCAAAAAAAAAAAAATTATATATATATATATATATATATATATATATGTATATGTATATATATATATATATATATATATATATATATATATATATATATATATATATATATATGTATATGTATATATATATATATATATATATATATATATATATATATATATATATACACAATATATACATATTATAGCACTATAAATCATAGTTGCAATTGTGCATTTATTGCATATATATATAAATATAATTTTATTAGAGTGCTTTCATAGGTATGATGAAATTATTTAATACATTATTTCAACATGCAAGATGACTAAAAATCATAATCATAACTCATAAAAATCATTATTGAATGATATATCATGCAATAATGATTTTTATTAGTTATCTCAGCAAAAAAAAAAAAAGATATGTACATAATGTAAAGTATTCCTTTATGGTATACGTATACCATAAAGGGTAGATTATATGTATATACATATAATCTAGATTATATACAACTAGATTATATGTATATACATATAATCTAGTTGTTAACATATGATAACTAAAATAGTTGTTGTTAATATAACTAAAATGCTGCTATTTTAACTAAAATAACATTATTATCATATTTATTTGATAATATTTATGTATTAAATATTTTCCATTTTGTTATAACATAAAAAAATTAACTTAAACAACATTAACATTAAGGTTTAACGTTAACAATATTATTTAACAACATTATTTACATTTATGTTAACAACATTACTTGTGTTATGTTAACAGATTACCAGTTAACTGGTAATGTCATGTGATTTTATTTAAACCTATATTTTACACATTTTTTTTAGACTAATGTTATTATTTTTTATAATTAATGTTATTATGTTATAATTTTTATAACTTCATAATAATGTTGTTAACGTAACTAAAATAATTGTATTAAACCGAAGGTCTTACCTAATTTTTAACAACTGCAAAATCGATATTTTCCTCGCTTAACATATTTAATACGATATTACTAAAATATTACAAACCAAATATTTTTTTATGAAAAAGTTAACTATGTATGTGTTTAAAATTACCATGCAGCAATAAAAGTTAACTAAAATTTTCAGTAAAACTGAAAATGGTTCTTAAAAAAAAACATGTCGCTAAAAACATGATTCTAGTCTCCTTTCCGAATAATTCGATACGAGAATCCAACAAAGTGCACACTAAGTGTGGCTTTTTTTACGCATATAATGAAGTTTAATTTCATAATTACAAGTGTGGCTTTAAAGCGCGCAAGTGTAGCCTTGAAGTACACTATTTGTGTAGCCAAAAAGACGCTACACTAAGTGTCGTGTTTTTTGTCCACACTATTTTTAAGCGTGTACTGGCTCAGAACTTTATCTCAGTTACTCATTCATATTAGACGTCACTACAGAATTAAAGTAATTGTACGTAACTTCTTACGTTTAAAATTATTTTTAGTTTTTTCATCAATTTTATCTACTTCCTTTTATCTACTTAATTTTATCTTTAATTTTTTATTTTATCTTAATTTTACTTCCTTTAGTGGAATTTCTCTTAAAAATCTTTTTATTAAAAATTAAATATTTAAAAGTTTATTGTTAACAAAATTGATTATTTTAAAAAACATAAATTGTAAATAACATTACAAAAGAGTATATATACTATATGAAAACATAATTACGCGGTTACGAAATTGCAGACCAAAAGTTTTTTTTCTATTAAATTTTTCAAAATATTGAAAATATACGATGTTTTAAAAGGGGAAGATAATTAAAATGCAAAAGTCCCCAACAAGAGTTTTACTTAACTTTAGATTGTTTTGTATTAATAATTTAATATGTTGTTAATAAAAATAACGACCATTGATTGCTAAAACCTAAAAATATAAAAAATTTGTGAATAGATTTTAAAAAGCTTGAAAATATCATTCGATTGATTTACAATGTAAAAAATATTGTTTTACTAAAATTCATCATGATTTACATGTCTTATTTTTTTCATGATTGGTAGTCAACCGATTGAGGTAGGATATTGATAAGACTTATCTATTTATTAAAGGAAAACTTCTAGCTATCAGTTCTAGACATGGGAGGGGGAGATGTATTTTTTTTTTCTATTTTATACTGAATGAAACATTTAGTCTTTAAAAACTCTTAATTTAGATCTAATGACGAAATATAAGAATATATACTTTGGACAACACGTAATTGGCGAAATATTTTTTCTAATTAAAGAGTGGCGTTCTATAAAAAAAAAGTGCACCATTAAAAAAAGTAAGGATTTTTTTCACACTGAAACGCTTCACTTGTTTCTTTTAATTTTTTTATATTTTTAAAAAAGCAGAGAGTTGTAGGCCGCTTTTTAAAATCACTTTTCCACTATGAGGTAGTGTCTTGGATGCGAAGAGTTTGTATAAAGTTATTTATAAGTGATTTACGTTTGTTATTAAATAATAACTAAAGAGAAAAATGTTGTAACATGTTACTGAACAATCCAGTAAAAATATGATAGAAAAAATGTAAATTGCTGACTGATTCTAGTTTAGAAAGGTTTAGACTGTTTAGCATCATTATGATCTGGGCCCAACTTAAGCTATCTTGACGGGGTTTAACACTCCACACAATCCAATCTAAAAATAAATAAAACAAATTTATTTTATTTATTCGTGAAAATTTTGCAAAAAAGATTGCAATTAATTATAAATATTTTTTTTCAATAACAAAACTGTGAGCTCAACTAAATCATCAATTGACCAAATGAAAATTGCTTTTGCAAATGTCTTTAAAAATTCATCTAATAAAACTTAAAAAATTCATTCCGAATACCAGAAAATAGAATTTTCAATAATTTTTAAAACTATTTTCTTAAAATATCTTGTCTTACTTTGGAACCAAAACAATTTTTTTTTTACATGAATACATATTTTTTTGTTGTTGCTGTAAACTGCATTATTTACTTAAATTTTTCCAAAAGATTAGATATAAGACAAACTTAAATGCATCAAATTACAATATATTAAATTTTAATTGTATAATTTAATGAAGAACATTTTGAAAACATTATAAAAACAAGGTTATATATATATATATATATATATATATATATATATATATATATATATATATATATATATATATATATATATATATATATATATATATATATATATATATATATATAATATTTTTATAAAAACATATAGCCTCTTGAGAGTTATTAATCACCATTTTCTTGTTTTTAACTTTTATTTTGTTTGTTTTGTTTTTGTTTTTCAAATGAGCAGTCTTCCTTGACTCTAGTAATCTCATGTATTTTAGTGATCTATTCCTGGAGCCTTAAAGAGATGAATTTTTTTACTAAAACAAAAACTTATGAAAAAGATACGAAATATAAAATTATAAAAACATGTTTGATTAGCAACCGTCAATTCCAAATATTTTCCCAACTCATAAATATTATTTGAAACAGATACCAACAATTATTTGAATTCTGATAATTCAGTTTACTGACGTTTAATATAAATAAAAATAATCTTGCATAATAGTATTTATAATACTCGTTTCAGCCGGCAAGTATTTATAAAACCTAACCTGCTACTTTTAAAGTTAAATATCAACTTACAAATAGAGTAAGTTTTAATTTTAGTTTTATTTTATTATTAATTTTATTTGTTCCATTTTTATTCTTTCAGTCTTATCTATTTCTTCCTTGATAAAAGTGTTTACATTATAAACGGTAAAAGTGTTTGTTAAGTAAACGATTAAAAAACTTGATGAGCTTAAAAAAAAACTAGACTAAGTTGGTGGATCTTGTAATAAGGAAAGAACACATTGTGGTTTTTGTGACAACGTAGAAGTACATTTGTGATTTTTTGTAAAAACAGCATTTTATCGCCAAAACAACAACAACCAAAAAACTCAAGTAAAAACTGTAAAATGTTTTTCTCAATTTAGTCATATCGAATGAAAGTTATAAAATTTTGACATTTTCAATATAATCAAATTAAGCTTTTAGCTTTTTGAATATTCATAACTATATATTTTTTTTTTCTTTATTTGTTATTTGTCATTTTACTTATGACATGTTAAACTTGTAATAGGTAAAACAGGGCATGAAGAAGAATGGGACAAAATGTTATATTTCATATAACAACTCAGCAAAAAAAATTAAAAATTGGTAAAAGCAAAACTGTTTTTGTATCTTTTAACACCGGAAGGTTTTTTTTTAAATACTGTTAACGTAATTTAATACGCATAAGTTTATTTTTTGCGCTTAAAAAAAAATGCCTCGGTTTCGGTAATTGCTAACGGATGATGTTTCTTGGGTATGATTTTAAGCAAAGCAAAAAAATATCCCTAAATAAAGTTTGTTTTGTGTTACTTAAGTTATACAGAAAGTTACTTTAGACTGGTTGATAGTGTGACCTTAGGTAGTTTTAAGAATTTTATAAAATTGGATACAGAAAACGCATAATAAGTCATTTCGCTCCGCTTATGTGATCATATAACAAACTTATGAACTTTATATTTTAACTTTTATAGAAAAGATTTTCTACTCACAAACTGAAAAATTATGCAGGCAATGAATCATTATAATATAACAAACTGATAAAGTTTTATTTCTTTGTGACTAATATTTTTACACTAACTCGGAGTCTTCAAAACTTTTGGCATCTTGCCACGTCTTTTCTTATAATAAATAATAGTTTTTTAAAAAATTTTAGTACTTTCAACTTAGTTGTAAAATTCTAACAACACAGAAATCATGATAAAGACTAATTATTTTCGATGATTCAAATAAAAAATAATCGAAAAATATTTAATTGACTTAATACTTTTTAATTCTTTGTTAAAAGTACTTTTTTTGTTTATTCACCAGAGATCATTGTTTTAAACCGAGGATAGAGTGCTATTTTGTATTTTGAATGTAAACTTTAGAAGGCATAACGTACCAGTTGCATATGTAATTTATTTGTTTAGCTGTTTTCTAAAAATTGACACAATCTATGATACAAATTTCGTCTTATTTCTCAAAATCTTTGAGATGTGAAAATACAAAATGTTTAAGTTTTACTAAATAACAATTAAACACTTTGATGATCAACTTTCAAAAGATTTACAAATAACAAAAAACATGTAGAAAAATTTAGTCAACATAAAACAACACTTTACATATCACATAACTAAAACAACATAAAAAACTGATAAAAATAAACTTTTATTATTAACGTTTGACTGCAGTCAAAAGATTTTATTATTGATATTTTTAAAAACATTGTAAGAAAATTTGTGTAACCTCCCCGGCTTTGCAACAACAAGTGCCAATCACCACCGGTTATTCAAAGTGCTTCCTATTATATGAATAAAATCTCAAGTGTTTTTGAGGATAATTCAACATATTGATGTTTATTCGATCGTGATAAACCTTTTAAATCTGTTTAAATTTGTTTGTTTACAGTTTATGTAATTTTATTCTTTTCAATCAAATTTAGTTAACCGTTATTCTTGTTTAAATATTTTAGAAACCTGAACTATTCAATAAAAAATATACATTAGCAACTTAACATATGGATACAATGAGTTCAACTTCATCTATGAAGTTTTAGTAGTATTACTACAAGAACTTAAGAATTGTAACAAGCTTAACAAGTAACTTAAGCCATAGTTGTTGAAAATTGCACGATACTGTAACAACAACATTTAATATAAACTTACTGTTCATTTTTCTTCATATCGATTTTATTTATTTTTTAAAACTAAAACTTTACAATTTAATGAAGATGTGACAAAGAATTTTTTAAGGTAATAGATTTTGTTTTCTTTAATTTATATAAAGGAAGTCTTTTTTAAGTATCTTTATAAGCGGGTGGTCTTCTAAATTTGTTCATTTTAATATATTATTTAATTGAATAATCTTTATTTTAAGTATATTCAATTCCAATACTTCCGTAACATATCGTTTGTATAGATTTCATAAAAAACTTATGACGTTCGTTTTAGATTTTTTCATTTGATGTGTTTGGTATTTGTGTGCATCTTATTTATTATATTTTATTAATGAACATATTTGTGCAGCTTTTTCTTTTGTAGTTCTTTAAATTTTGCCATATAAAACGTAAAAGCCACCTTTATTTTTCTTTTATACTGTCATTACTCCTGCTCCTCGTCAATACACTCTCGTGCACAATGATAAACTGCGGGTATTGTTTTTATTTTTATTTTATTTTAATTTATAAATGGATGTTTATGATCACACATATTTTTATGTTTATATATATTTATACAAATAATTTGTATAAAAATAAATAAATTTATTATCAAAATAAATAAATTAGATTATAAAAGTATTGCAAATGTGAAAGTTTGTTGACATAAAAACGACGAAAAAAAAACCTTCGTTACCGTACTTTATATTGTCATTGTTTTATATTGTCATTATTTCTGCTCTTTGCCAATATAGACTTATCCACTATTATAAACTCCGAGTACTGTTGTTTTTACTATTGTTATTTTTCATTAATAATTAGATATATTTCTAATTATTTATAGAAATGCATATATAAAATAACATAATGGTATTTTACTAGTTTATTATGTAATGATTATAAATGGAAGATTATAAAAGTTATTGCAAATATTAAAGCTCGACTTAACAACGATAAAAAAACCCGTCATTATCCGTCATTTACATTGTATTTTTTTTACTATTATATATATATATATATATATATATATATATATATATATATATATATATATATATATATATATATATATATATATATATATATATATATATATATATATATGAATATATATATATATATATATATATATATATATATATATATATATATATATATATATATATATATATATATATATATATATATATATATATATTTATATATATGTATATATATAATAGTGAAAAAAATAAGTGTGTATATATATATATATATATATATATATATATATATATATATATATATATATATATATATATATATATATACACACACATTGGTGTCCGCAGGATTTTGTGATATTTCATACATGACACTTTCACGCGTTGAGCAAATTCCAAACTTAAGTTTGTTTATGCATCTGCCAAATAAGTATACTTCGCCAAAAACCGCAATGATGAAGGCCTGGGAACAAAAATATCCCAAAACGTTTGACTTACTAGCTCATACATGAGGACAATTTTTACGATATGATATTAAAGTTGAAAATTTTCCTCCTTTAGTATCCTCACGTTTGGACAAGGATGGGGGTCAAACATTTAAGGATATTATTGTTTCCAGGCCTAAATCATCGTGATTTTTGGCAAAGCATCCATTTGGCATAAGCATGAATATACTTAAGTCCAAACTTTACAATTGCTGCTCTTCATTCCAATGGAAGAGCATTTAACTAGGAATTTAACTTTGCCTATTAGACTAAAGCCGACGTCTAATCTCGAATCTTTTGGTTCTGAGCCATAATTCTAACCATATATATATATATATATATATATATATATATATATATATATATATATATATATATATATATATATATATATATATATATATATATATATATATATATATATATATATATATATATATACATTAATCAATACATTTATTCATTATGTTATGAATTATTATGAAAAATTATTAAAATTTTTTGCAAATTATTATATCTCATTGACTTGACAATGACAAAAAAGCTGGTTAATTTTATAACGACAAAAAGTCAGACGAACTGTTAGAATGTTAAGGATGTGGATTCAATTACTTTAATTTTTCCGTAAGTATTAGTTCCGGTCTCTGTTTATTCAAAGCTAGTTTATGTAAATGACATTAATAAAAGATTTAACAATCAATCATTCACGTGAAAAATGTCAACAAGTAAAATGTTGTACAGTAAAGATATAGAAGCTACATTAGCTGATATAAAAGAAATAAACTGCTCAATCAAAAATTTCCATTCAAAATAGCTTTTGAATGCAATATAAATTATATTATATATATATATATATATATATATATATATATATATATATATATATATATATATATATATATATATATATATATATATATACAGAGCCTTCATGAAGAGATTTCAATAGGGAACGTTTTCTAAATTTTTTAAACTTAAATGCGTAGCAATTAAGTTTAAAAAATTTAGAAAACGTTCTATAAAGATACGTCTTTAGAATGAATACCTCACATTTTAAAATCTGAGCAAAGTGTTAAGGTAAACATAAATGGGGCAAAGTAAAAAATTGATGGATTCTAGACTCAGATCAAAATTTTTTTATTGTCAAAACTTAAATTTTAAATTAAAAAAAAACTTAAAGCTTAAACAAAATTTAAATCATAAAAAAATAATTATTATAATCTAAGTACAGTCTTCGGCCGCGTGGACACACGAAAGATCTAAAAGCACAACTTCTACGAAACTGCACTGAAAGAAACAACTTCCTCACCAACCGTGTAGTAAAATTATGGAGTTCTTTAACCCAAAATGCGGTGCACGCAAAGAACTTGAACGATTTCTAACACAAACTCCCTCTGTTCCGGCATCTTCACTTTAGCTGAAATCGAATAACTGTATTTTCATTACAGAGATCGGCCTGGTGTGCCGCTCTTTGTCAACAATTTGTAAATTTTGTGGACCATGAATAAACTTAACCAAACCAAATAATATAATTTTATATATACAGTATTGGAAAAAACATTTGCAACCAACATCGAACAATGCTAAAAAGTGTTCCTAATTTTACATGTCTTAAAAAAGAAACAAACTTTACTACCACAACAAACAGTTCAGGAGTCTGGAGTCATGTCATGTCATGACATGAGCAATTAGCTGACAGGTGACAGCATACAGGCAGAATTTTGTTGACAAGTGCCATTTTGCAGCGAACAAAACTAGTACATTTTTTTGGTTTGTTTCATTTTCTTAAGTCTGGTCCGTGTCAACGTCACGAAAGTTTTTTATAATTAAAGGAAGTATCCAGACGTTGTGTTCCACAAAGCATTATTGTATCATCACAAGGTAAATGTAACACGGTAAGCCTTTAGAAGCGTGATTATTTATTTTTATTATTTTTATGACTTCAAGTGCAAAAATGGCTCCCAACAGTCTTGGATTGGAACTAAGAAAGACAATTATTGGCAATTACGTAAGTGGAATGTCACAAAAAAGTATTTGTGATAAATATCGCGTGAAAAAATGGACCGTATCAAGACTTTGTTCCAAATATCGTTCTACGGGGAAGTTGGCAGCAGATAACAAAGGTGAAAGACCGCGTTCCACTACTTCTAGAGAGAATTCTATGATCGTCAAATCTGTCAAGAAGGATCCCTGGATATCATCAGTCGAGATAAAAAAGCATTTAAAGCTGCCTGTATCGGACCGAACAATCAGACGACGTGCTGTTGAAGCCAGATTGTTTTCTCGACGCTCTGCAAAGAAACCGCTGATTTCACTAAAGTACCAGAAGAAAAATCTCCTGTTTGCTACATTTCATATTTACTGGAATGTGCAGAAATGGCGAACTGTTCTGTTCAGTGATGAATCGAAGTTCAACATCATTGGGAGCGATGACATTGGCCGTGTACGCAACCGCCCGGAAAACGCCTCGATTTACGTTACTGTCATAAGACCGTGAAGCATAGTGGAGGCAATGTAATGGTCTGGGGGTGTTTTTCTGCTAACGGTCTAGGTCCAATACATCGAATCGATGGAGTAGTGGACCATTTCTTGTATAAAAATATCCTGAAAGATGTTATGTTACCTCATGCTGAATGAAATACGCCAATAAAATTCAGCAAGACAACGATCCGAAACACACTGCAAAAGTAGTCAAGCAGTGGTTTCAAGACAACCATCTATTGGTGATGGATTGACCGCCTCAATCTCCGGATTTTGACCCTATCGAGAACCTGTGGGAGATTGTCAACCGCAGAATTAATCGTGAAGGTGCTCGTAATAAGGATCAACTGTTTGAACAAATCCAAAAGGCCTGTGCAGCGATTCCACAAAGTTTCATTGATTACCTGATCGAATTTATGCCTCGAAGATGCAAGGCTGTGATCAAAAACAAAGGATTCGTCACGAAATATTGATAGCAAAATACAGCTTGGTCGACATTTTGTGAAGTTGCACTTGTTTTGTCCAGAAGGAAACCAACTTTTTTAATACTTTTGATTAATTTATTAATTTTCGTGTATAAATAATGAACTTTGTGATGAATAAAACTTGAAGAACGTTGTTTCTAAATAGTTAAATAGTTATTTCTCTAAATTGAAAAAATGCAGCACTTTTATATAAAGAAACTAAATTAGCATTATTTGGTTGCACTTGTTTTGTCCGATAGTGTAGGTGAATAATTCAACTATTAACTAATTCTTCTTCCGTTAAAGACAATCACAAAAAAGAGAAGTTCAAACTCTTTGCTTTGCTCTTGTATTTTAATTATAAAAACTTAAAAATTATAATAAATCGATTTGCATCATTGTTAAGCGAGATATAATCTAAGACATTAAACAACAAACATCACATTTATGTCTATTAAATATATATATATATATATATATATATATATATATATATATATATATATATATATATATATATATATATACATATATATACATATATATATATATATATATATATATATATATATATATATATATATATATATATATATATATATATATATACATATATATATATATATATATATATATATATATATATATATATATATATATATATATATATATATATATATATATACAATTAAGCCACAAGATTAATCCACGAGATTAAGCATTATTATGCCACAATCGTGATATTTAAAATAGTATAGTATATTTTACACACTAGAAGAGTCTAGAAACGTTTTTAAATTTTATTATTCTATACTAGATTTTTTAATTTTTATTATGTTCTGCTAATACTCAGCATTGACCAGTTCAATAATCGGTGATACGCAGTGACGGATGCAAAAATTTTTGGTGTTTAAGATTACTAAATTTCAGAAATTGAGCAAACTCCAAACATTTTTATTTATACTCATGTTAATTAATGAGGTTTTGCAAGAAATTGCGACGATTGGAGGCTGGGAACAAAATATCCTTTGACTTCATCCCCCCCACTCCCACCCAAAACGTGAGGGTTAACAAGTTTATGA